CTAATAGGCTCGGCCCCTGGGGCTCAAGTGGCTAAGGCACCAGCCATGTACACCCAAAGTGGTGGGTTCGATTCCAGGTGGGGCCCACCAAACAACAATGACAGCTGCAACCAAAAAATAGCCGGGCGTTGTGACGGGCGCCTGTGGTCCCAGCTACTTGGGAGGCTGAGGTAAGAGACTCACTTGAGCCCAGGAGTTGGAGGTTGCTGTGAGCTGTGATGTCAAGGCACTCTACCCAGGGGGACAGCTTGAGGTTCCATCTCAAAAAAAAAAAAAAAAAAAAAGTCCTAATAGTCCTAATAATACAACCTTGTACAACTTTTGAGTCAGTCTGCAAAAAGGTAAAGTGGGTTGAAATAAAAGAGCATAGGTAAAAGCTGCCTGAACAGCCTCGCAACAGAAAGTGTTTAAATAAATACAAAATAGCCCTCACAACACTTGTGTCTTTTAGATTGCTTAACAGCCACCAAGAGAACAATATATGTCTATTAGCAGAACACAACTCTTTTTCTTGGAAGATATGCCTGCCTCTGTTTTATACAAGGTAAGAATCCTTTTGTTCCACCACATGGGTAGGATCACAGGCAAATGCTTAACCAGAGATTCTTCCACACAATGGAAAAACTTTACATAGACAATCAACAGCATCTGCAAGTAAATATTAATAAAAATTTTTATTAATAAAAATCCAAATGAGTACTCTCTCCCCTTTCCACCTCCAAATGAAAGTATGGAACATATTATCCTTTTATACCTTTAAAGCACAGTGACCTCATCCAGTTAATCAAGTCTATAGGGCTCTCTCTCGCCTCCTTCTGCCTTCCTTCTCAGCTCTTTTCTCTCTCTCCCCCCTTGCTCTTCTCTACTCTCTCTTCTTCCCCACTCTCTCCTTATCTTTCTCTCCTCCTCGCTGCTCTGCAGCCTCCCACCCCCAACCAAAAAAAAAAAAAAAAAGTCTATAGGAGTGGTTTCTAATAGTATGCCATAAGCTTGAGAAGAAACATCATTAGACAATGTACGAGAAATGGTGAAAAGGAAGGAGGGGGGGGAGGGAGGTAGGGAGGGAGGGGAGGGGAGGGGAGGGGAGGGGAGAAGCGAGGGAGGGAGGGAAACAAAGAAAAAAGCAAAGCAAACTTTATAAATATATACAGGATGGGTAAAGTACATGTGCAATTTAAGATAGTTTAACACAGTAAATTGCACAAAAACTTTTAAGTTTCGGCTTTCAAAATTATATATTTATACCAATCATGGTGAGAACTGCTCAAAACGGTAACTCTAAGCTCACCATAGCATAAAAAAGTTCATGATCTGACTCTCAGCTTCATCTCACTAATCTCTACTATTGTCACAGCACTTAGAATATGCTACTATAATTGCTATAGTGTCTGGCTCCCATCAGACCGTCATTCACTTGACAAATACACAATGACCATTTATAATATGCAAGACAGCTAATAAATTCTTAGGAATCAACAAGGTATATACAATATAATATACCCTTTAAAATACATACACTATGTTCGTTCTTCTACTTTATGTAATGCATTTTTGTAATGATATGATTTTCAGAGGTCAAAAACACTTATTGTTTCAGAATTTAGGGGGCTGAACCAACACAGGAGAAAGATTATATACCAAAACCTTCAAACACAAAGATTTTAAAGGGCTTGATACACTTTCAAAAGGAATCCTAATTAGATAGGTCTGTCCTCTTTTTCTGGCTCTAATCATTATTCTTTTCTTGCTTCCTTTCAAATTTAATCCAGAAATAGTCCATATAACATTCACTTCCTTGGTTGTAGTCATTCATTGAAAAGACCCAAAAAACATCTTAATCACGAAACTGAATCCAGCAGGACCCTCAAGCTTTGCTGTACACCCTAGTACAGCATCACAGAAGCCAGTCCACACTCACTTGGAATAGTTTTCTCCAGCCTCGTCTTTCTTCCCATCTGTCTCACCCTCTGTTTTTGTGCCTTTATTTGTTTCATCCAACCAATCTGAGACATGTTTAAGGGCACATTCAACAGTAGACACCATATTCTGAACAGCTTCAAGTTCCTCTGGAGATGGATAGATTGTTGAATGTTTCACCATAACATGGCGATCATCATTGGCAAAAGATCGAATAGATCTCTGTCAGAAAGAAAAAGAGAACAATTACTTCAACAAAAGAAACATCACCTGGGGTGGCACCTGTGGTTTAGTGAGTAGGGCGCTGGCCCCATGTTCCAAGAGTGGTGGGTTCAAACCCTAGCCTGGCCAAACTGCAACAAAAAAATAGTCGGGTGTTTTGGTGGGCACCTCTAGGCCCAGCTACTTGGGAGGCTGAGGCAAGGGACTTGCCTAAACCCAGAAGTTGGAGGTTGCTGTGAGTCGTGTGACGCCACGGCACTCTACTGTGGGTGATAAAGTGAAAATCTGTCTCTACAAAAAAAAAAAAAAAAAAAAGAAAGAAACATCACCTGAAAAGGATGACATAGAAATATATTTTAAGTCAACTCACAGCACTAATTGTCAAACTATTGTGAAGACAATTAAGACAAAAAAAAATTATTCAGGAATAGGAAATAAAATCCCATTCTATTGATATCCACACCAGAAAATTAAGACTTTCATTAATGTTCAGGTAAGGTTCACCTAGGTCACACTTGGCATTGTGTAATATATATCTCATAGCTGAACCTATGCATTCTGAATACCATTTCAAGAAAGGTCATTCACGTCACACAACATCTGGCAAGAAACTTCCTATCTTCAAGAGAGTCTCTAGAAATGCATCAAAGTGACTCATGACACCCAGCCACTCCTTCCAAACTGCTACAGACTTTTGCACCTTAAAAAAGGTGATACTGACTCGGTGCCTGTGGCTCAAGTGACTAAGGCGCCAGCCACATACACCTAAGGTGGCAGGTTCATATCCAGCCCGGGTCCGCCAAAGAACAATGATGGCTGCAACCAAAAAA